GAGTTATCATTAATCAAAGTTGACCAATTTTTGCTCAAAATTTTTCTATGCCATAATTTTTTTGAGCAGTGTATATATTCATTTTATTTTATTTTAATGATTAAATGAATCGTATATCATCATTAAGATTCTGAGAAAGACAAGAGAGCTGTAAGAGGAACGATAGAACCGTGAGAGCAAGAAAATTGTGACAGAGATAAGAACGCCGTGGGAGAGACGAGAAACTCGTGAGAGAGACAAGAGAGCCGTGAGAGAAGCGAGGGTACCGAGAACGAAACAAGAAAATTGTTAAAAAGACGAGAGTCTTGAAAGAGAGGTGAAAGTCGTAAAAAAGACGAAAAAGTTGGGAGAGAGATGAGGGTTCTGAGAAAGAGATGAGAAAGCAGAGAAACAGCTGAGAAAGATGTGAGGAATACGAGAGAGCCGTGAGAAAGACAAGAAAACTGTAGAAGAAACAAGAGAGTTGTAAGAGGGGCGAGAGTACTGAAAAAGAGACGATAGAATTGTTAAAAAGTCGAGAGAGTCATGAGAGAGATGAGGGTTCTGAGGAAGAGACGAAAAAATTGTTAAAGAAATGAGAGAGCTGTAAAAGAGACGAGAAAGGCGAGAGTGAGGCGAGACCTAGAAGATATTTAATTCTTCGACGGCGACTACACAGACATTTACTTTCTCGACAGCAAAGATCTAGAGAATGCGTAGACACTTAACAGTTTCTCGACGGTAACCACGTAGACAGATATTTTCTCGATGGCGACCACGTAAACATTCAATTCCTTAATGGTGAAGACCTAGAAAACGCGTAGATACTTAGTTCCTTGACGGCGACCACGTAGACATTCATTTCCTAGACGGCGAAGACCTAGACGACATCTAGACACTTAGTTCTTCGACGGCAACCACGTAGACATTCACTTCCTCGACGGCGATCACGTAGATATTCACTTCCTCGACGGCGAAGATCTAGACGACACCTAGACACTTAGTTCCTCGACAGCGAACACGTAGACACTCACTTTCTCGATAGCGAAGGTTTAGAAAACTCCTAGACATTTAGTTCTTCGATGGCAATCCTGTAGACATTTACTTCCTCGACGGCGAAAACCTCGACAACACCTAAACACTTAGTTCCTCGATGGTGAAGACCTAGACAACACCAAACACTTAGTTCTTTGACGGCGAATATTTTGACACTTACTTCATCGACGGCGACCACGTAGACATTCACTTCCTCAACGGCGAAGACTTGGACGATACCTAAACACTTAGTTCCTCGATGGCAAAGACCTAGACAACACCAAACAC